ACAAGTTCTGATCTCTAACTGTAAGTTTCCTGAAAGTRACTTATTGAATTTAACCAAACCACTGGACAGAATTAAATTAAGGCTGGAGAAGATTCTACATAATTAACATTAAACCCAGGGGGGAAATATTGTCTGAGCAAAGTTTCATGACAGTCCATCCAAAGGCTGTTCAGGAATTACAAAACCACCCCTGAAGCTCTAGATGTTAATTCAGGGAATGAATCATCATCCATCATTTACCAACTCAACTGTGCCAAACATATCAAATATTGAAGCTTGAAGAATTGTTGTCGATGTTGCTGTTGAAACGCCATTTAAAAAAAAAAACCACACACACACACACTGGTATTGTACAAAAACATATTTATTATGACAGTATTAGTATATTATACAAATAAGAGCATATGTCCACTGTATAAAAATACAAACATCTGGATGCATATTTCAGTGTTCTGGGCGTCACACTTCATTGAAAAAAATCATTGATTAATGTGTTTGTGTTGTGGTCAGTTTCATGCAGCCCTGCAGTCATATGTGTTGATGTTTAGTGCACAACCCCCCTTGCACTCCAACACCACGGACCATAAACAACAGTAACTCACCCACAGAGACAAATAAGAGACAGAAGACTGTTGCATAAAAATATATTAGTGTGGAAATGGGTAAAGAAAAAAAAGGAGACATCTGCACCTGATAAAATGCTCGTCTTCATGTTGCATTTCTTTATTATTATTCCTGAAATACTGTGTGTTCAGTACCACTGATGTGACACTGCAGGGCCTCAATGAAACTCACCATGTCAGTCCGACTAACTAAACTGTACATACATGTAAAAAATACATTTCATGTAAATAGTAAAAAGTGAAAAGTTACAATCAGATGCTAAATGCACGGCTCTGGATGCAATCGCCACTGCATTAAAGTAAACTCACATGCAGCTGCCCTCGGATGGACAGAGAATTAGCTGGAGGCAACGCAGAGATAAGAAACGCGTAGGTTAATTAGTTACGAGAATATCGATGCGACTATCCCTGCCCACAGAGTCGGACTCTGACTCAAAGTGAAGGTACTGGGCTCCAGTGAGGTAACAGTGAAGCAGCGGGTCAGAGCTAAGTTTTGACTCCTGTCTTTGTCCTGAGAGCTTCAGCAGAATAGTTTACACCAAGTGTGTGAAAATATAAAAGAACATATAATGAAAAAAAATACACTCTATACTAGTATCTCAAAACATGCTTATTATAATATAAAATGACTTAAATGCTTATAGAAGCTGTGACACTACTATCGTCTGTGGCCTGTGGCTGTGGAGGATTCATCACAGCGTTCAGTGTAACAAAAAAATCCCTGAAGGTTTGTGTTTCAAAGTCTTTCAAAGATTTTGTCAATAGGATTCATTTTAATCATGTCAATTGTCAGAATAAGATAAAATGTTTGTAAATGCCCATGTGTGAAGAAAACTGCTTCAAAATCGTGTTTGTGCTAAAGAGAAGATTAAATCCTCCAATAAAAGAAAATCGTATTCATATAACAAAGCAAGTTGTTATCTGTGGTCATCGCGTAGCAGATTAGTAATCCTTAACTTCTCCATTTTAAGATTGGTGCTTGATGGGCACATTTTTAAGCCTCTGCTTTGTTCTTCGAGTGATCGGCATGAGCCATGCTCTCCTCGCTCTCGTCTTCCTCCTCGGGAACCTGCAAATTCAATTCAAACAACTTTATTAATCCCACTGGGGACAATGGAGCAACAAAACATCCCACAGACAGATGCAAGGTACAGGGGAGATGAATGAGCGATACGAATATATAAAGAATTAAGAACAAAGTTGAGGACCATAAAAAAGTTAAGAAAGTGGATGAAAAGATGAATATATTAATATTAATGATACAAGATAACAATATACTCTGCGCTTTTTAAAGGATTTTTCTGGTCACAAAAATAACTCAGATCTAAACCAGCAGATACAAGAGAAACACAGGAGGCTCTCAATAAAGGTCTGATGTTAAAGCAACGAAGAGAATGACAGGACACACGGAAAACGAGTGGATCCTCTGCTGCTCACTTTTCACAATAGCCTCAGTGTTCATATACAATATACAACCCAAATGATCCAGAAAGGTTTTGAGTAGTTTAAGCATGATTGATAATTTCATCTTAAACACAAGAAAGTTAATTCACCTGATAATCTCCTAATGAAGTATTCTGATGCAGTGAACCACATCAGTTAATTGTATTTTATTTGTCTCGCCCATATTCACAAATCACAATTTTCCTCATAACATGCTTAACAAGGAGCAACATCCTCTGTCCTTAACCGTGAGTGAGGGAGAAACCTCAAACAGAGGAATCCATCCATCCACCTGACATCATCCCCAAACCACATTTTTAATAACTTATAAAACATCCACATCTGTCACTTTTAATATTAGACAGTCTAGAAAATGGACATGATGTTTATGAGGGGTGGGACTTCTTACCTCCCAGTAAATAGAGTCATCGAAGCAGTTCTGGTCTGGAGGCTGTCCCAACATCGGCAACTTCATTATAAAACCTAGAGGAAGAAAATGAATTGTTTGATCAATCACATGTTGCCCCCTTTCTTTTGAAAACGACACAAAACTCTGCTCTTTCCATTGAGCTGCAAAGATGTTTCACCATCAGGTGTCGCATTCTGGATTTCATCTCCACCTCCACCCACCTGTAACAGCTCCTCCAACCAAAGCGAACCCGAGGGATGAGGCCAAGGCAGCAGCTTGCATGGCAGGGTCACCTCTGAAGAGGAGGAGGAGGACACAGGAAGATGTAAGAGCAGGAAACGGACACTCAGCTGGAGTATAAGATTATTTAAAAGCTGCGTTACAGTTACGTGTGTGTGTGTTGTGCTAAATGTGGCCTGCTCTTACCCCTCCTTCTTCCCCAAAGTGACGGCCACGATACCAGCCAGCCCACCCAGGATGCCAGGCATGCCGTGCAGATTGTGGACACCGCAGGTATCCTGGATGCCCAGTTTTGATGCCAGGATGGGCTGCAGAGGAAAAGAGGCATCTTAGCAACGAAGGTGAAATTCTTTTTTAAAAGGTGTAATATGCAGTTTGATTTTTAGAAAAGAGCTTTTTGTATGAAAGACGTTTTGCAGCTAAATGTGGAAAATGCTCATCACATCTTCCCTGAGTCTATGGTGACAGTGCAAAACCCGCTGATATTCAATTAGCATATATTATATTTATTTATCTTCTGCAATTTCTTAAAAAGCATTTTCAATATTTTAAACTCAAGCTTTTTTTTTACCATAATCTTTTTCAACCTCATTCAAAACGTTCAGAACTGATCTGATGTCCTTTGGTTTCACCTTCGCTTTGACTTTCAACTCACAGTTAGGAACTTGAAGCCGAGTGTAGAGATGACGCCAGCCACCAGTCCAATCAGCATGGCCCCAAATGGCTCGATGTTCATGTCGGCGCACGTTCCCACGGCAACACCGCCAGCCAAGGTGGCATTTTGAATGTGCACCTACAGTCAAGACAAGTGAATATATCTGAAAACCACATTTAAAAACAGACACTGATCAAAGTGCTGTACATTTCCCTAAGTATCTTCTATATTCTTGAAATAGTGTTAGTGTGAATATCAGGGGAAGGTTTTCAGACCATGTCCAGCTTTCCTTTGTGCTCCACCAGGCTGGAGATGGCGTAGGCAGAGAGCACACAGGTAGCCAGGGAGAGGTACGTGTTGATGACGGCGGTGAGCTGACTGTAACCGGGTTCAGCGATGGCCGAGTTAAAACTGGGCCAGAACATCCACAGGAAGACGGTTCCTGGAGAAGAGTGTGATAAAGAGACATGAATTTCAAATTGAAGTGCTCGTGATCATTTTGGCTTAACAGGATCAATACAAAGGTGAGGTCAGAGAGGCTTGATACGTGCTGCATGGATATTTGTGTCCACTAGGGGGTGTAAGTCATGAATGTGCAGTGATGAACTAGTGAGGTCCTCATGAAAAACACATTACAGCTGGAAACAGATGATTAAAAGGTTAAATGAGTTTCGCTTGTTCTTACCGATCATAGCGAACAGATCCGAGTGATAAACAGATCCGTCGTTCTCGTGTCCATTTCTCAAACCTGGGCGGTAAAGCACCCGAGCCACTGCCAGGCCGAAGTAGGCTCCGAAAGCGTGGATGATCATGGACGCTCCAACATCATTAGCCTGCAGAAAGGAAGATCCACAACTAAAATACAATCAGGCCCAACAATTGTCTTTTGTAAAGAGTAAAGTCAGGAGCTTTTAAAACTGAACTTCTGAAACGTAGTTAACCAGAATGTCACTCAGTAGAGAACGTACCCTCACAAGAGCCCAACATCCCCTTTTACACAACCACATTTATAGTCACTAGATTTTTATTTGGATAAAATTTCACACATTCATAAATATCAGCCCCTAAACATGAAAATGTTCCGCTGAGAAATCAAGGAATCCCTTCTCTTCTCTTCCACCAGTTTTTGTGAAAATCTGTTTAGTTGTTTTTATGTAACGCCGCTAACTAAAAAACAAAGCAACCAACAGACAAATGGGCTGAGAACATAACGTTGGAGGTAATAACTCCTGCTTAGCTTCCGGCCACAGTGCAGTGATTCACGTAGCGCTCAGCTCCTTTACTCCATCTGCACATGCACGTGACGTCGTGCGCTCACCTGCAGAACATTCGCCACCAGATGCTCATTGATTGAGAAGATGGTGATCTCCAGTATGGTCATGATGAGGAGCTGCACCGGGCTGGTTTTACCCAGAACGGCTCCAAAGGAGATCAGGACTGTGGCTGTGCTGAAGTCTGCGTTGATGATTCTGCAGGAAACAAGTCATTAGAAAAACAAGAAGTCGCAGGATAATGAGAAGAAGAGGTGGAACACAAAGTGATGTTTTTTAAATTTCAATCATGTTTTTTGAGGCGGGTCGTACTTGAAGATGTTGATTTTGATCTTGCCGTCGTCCAGGTGCCAGATGCCCTGCATGAGGAGGCCCCACTGCAGGCCGAAGGCGGCCAGGAGCAGGTTCACGCCCACGCTGCTGAAGCCGTACCTCTTGAGGAAGGTCATCAGGAACCCGAAGCCGATGAAGATCATCACGTGGACGTCCTGAAACACTGGAGAAACGGAGAGGACAGGTCAGTTCATGCCGCAGACTCGACGACAGGGCCCTGCTTTGTTGTGCCAGTCCCACTTTGGCCTCGGCTAAATGCGGACATGAGATTGAATCTGATTAATCACACATGAAATGCTGACTTCAATTAGATATGAGCCATTTGCTGCCACTTTCCCATTCATGGTGGTATCCTTCTGACTTTGTAGTTTAAATGATTTATTGAGCGGTTATTGGGCCTCACAGAAGCAATTTCCTTCCACAGGAGCTGTATTGTCGGCTGTGACCTGTCGGTTGGAAAAGCAATTAAATCGCACTGTGAATGGGGTTCTGGGAAAACCCTGTCTCTGTTGCCCTGGTTCTATTAAGTGCATATGATTTAGATAGTTTACACTCATGAAGTCTCAGTGGAGCAGACGTTTGGCAAACCCTTATCTGTAGGTCTCAGCTGACAAAGATGGCGGCGTTATGAAATTTGTTTGGCATATTTCCCATATTTCGTTATCTATAGTCTCAGCTGTACGAGCGCTGGGAGCACGTTGGGGCGCTCCCTCCAACAGTCACCGCCATGACAGGAAGTGGTGCTCATTTTTTTCCAGAAGCCTTTAAGCTTCATGTGATGAGCCCCTCGTGGAAAATGCATCAAGGTGGAGAAACGGGGGAACAATGGGTTTCATTTCCAGTTAGTATAATTTCTAATAATGTGGACGCTATGGACAGGACACACTCTTTGTCTTTGAAAAGGTCATTGCTGCTGCTCCTCCGTGTTTAACAAAGGTTGATTCTTTGAGAGGTTCACACATTTATCATAAAACACAATGAACTCTTTTCCACTTCGATGTTTGTAGTAGTAGCTTTGATATTTGTTTGCCGGAGACGTGTGGGAGGTTCGTTCACACGAGGCAACGCAAAGCAAACTGTCGATAGTTTGGTGAAAGATGTGTCTAAAACTTGTTAGTATTACTGAGATTTTTGAGCAAATTGTGCATTCCATCAATGAGCTGGATCTTTTCCTTCCTGCAGCTGAAACAGACCAAACTCTATTTGGAATCATTGATATTTTAAAAGTGTCTTTGCTGAGTATCAGAAATGAAAACTGAAAAAATTAGAATTCTCATTTTTTTAACTGATCTATATTCCGGTCAAAATCTTACAATTGCTCAGCCTGATTCCATTCCTTGCTCGTCAAAGTTGCATGGAACAAGAAGAGCCGCTCAGGGTGGGGAGTGGGAATGAAAAACGCCCCATTCTCCATGTTACAAGTGAGCGTACTATAAAAATCATCTTGACTCTGTTATTTGAAGGTGAGATAGTTGCATGATGTTGCTTGAAAGTCAAAAATTCCATGTTGTTGGAATGGAACACAAAAAATGATTTGAGTTAAGAAGAGGATGATCACAAACAGAGTGGTAGCTGCAGCATGTTCAGTTTAACATGAGATCCGTGCAGCAGTCGAGGTGTAAATATCTCATGACGGTGAATCAGACTTGCTTCCCCTGCAGCAGGAGCTTCTAGTGGAGCAGATTGAGGATGGAGGGGAGGAGGTGAAGTTGGAAAGCAGCTTCACTAACTGGCACCACGCCCAGATGTTAGGTAACGCCGCGCTCTAATCTTCAGACGATTTGTGCGAGCCGAGAGGAGAGACAGAGAATCCTCTGAGGACCCACGGTGCTGCAGCCTCTAACAGGAGTGATGCAATCAGTGCAAAATAAAAAAATAATCATTCTGAAACGGTCGAGCAATAAATTCCCTCAACTTTGATGTTTTCACTCTGCAAATCAAATCCTCATTAAGATGAAATGATTCTTCAAGAGTCTGAATCGGAAACGAGTGAAGTGTTCATCCCACAAGACGACCAGAGTTTATTTCTGGTGTTGACATTTATTCCAAAAATATGAAGGGGTTTGCTGTGACAGATTCTTTTTACTCGCCACATTTCTCTGCTTATTTGTCTTTCTCTGAACTATAATTACAAACGTCTGGATAGTGGAGCTCTTTGCACGCAACCGCCGGCCTCACGCTTTTTCACCATATCTAGTTGCATTCATGGCTTTGGCTCATTCAGAATAATTTAACATAGCTTAACACAGAGATGTTTTTAAGATTCTTATGTCCCTGAACATCTTATTACAGCAGTTTACAGTGAAGATAAATCTATTTTTAAAGTCTCTCTCCACCATAAAACGCTTATTGTTAAGTCACCTTCACTTCGCTGAATGATGAACTGTATGTGCAGCAGTTTGATATTGAACATTTCCATGTTGTTCATCAGAGTTTCTATGCTAAACTATATCCTAAGTTCAGGATTGAAAAGATATCATATCGAAAAGATTATATATCAACTAGTTAAATACAAATTCTGGTCCTGTTAACAAAATATAAAAGTGTGATCATGCAAATATGCAAGCAAACAGTATTTACATGTTTTTGATGAAGCAACATCAAGCTATATTTGCAAAAACCATTTCAGTCAGTATTTCCATACATTTAGACATGACTAGATATAATACACAGCATGATACAAGTGAAAAAGGAATTAAAACAAACTTTGAAAATACATTTTTTTGCAGAAGGTGTATGTTTTATGCAGAGCTAATCTCTCGGGGTCACACCTGCCCCACCCAGTCATGATCAGATGTCCACAGAGTTAAAGAGCAGCTAAATGTTGCAGGAAATCCCTGATGGAGAGACGAGATCAAGATGCAAAGTCGACTGCTCCACACTAACTAAACCTCCGTGTTTAAACAACATCCCTGTGACATCCATGCTTTTAAATGAACCGCATATTTCAAACAGAACCTTTCTGCTCCACTGTCTGTAGCTCTTCATTATCCAAATCACATGTGACCTCCTCCGTTTGAGACCTGACACTTTCCCTGCAGGATCCTCAGCTGCATGTGTGTGAATAGACTTTGTGTCAAGATGAGAATGTGACCCCCGTGACTCTTTATTGCCTTCAGCAGACCTGCGCTGGTAACAGGCTCCAGATTCTTCTATTTCTATTTGCAAGTAATTGGAAAATTCAGCCCGTAAACAGAATTCACGTTGATCTAATGAAAGTAGTTGTGCTCCCCAGCACTTCAAATTCCGAGAGTAAACAAGCAAAGTTTGGAAATGTGGAAATAAGTAGAAATAAATTTAAAACAGCCTTCTATCGGTGTCACAAAGCTTTGCAGGATAATTGAACTTATTTTCATTCAGGTTAGTTTTAACTCAAAACAACAACAATGATAATATGCTGCAACCATTACATGATTTTTTTTAAAAACTCAAAAGCCATATAGAGACCAGTTATTCAAACATCCAGCTGCAGGGCATCCCTCAGCGTGCAGCCCCACATTCAGTCCACTTACTGGGGTAGAGATCCATTGGATTTTCATTGTGAGTCTCATTGGAGTGAACGTCGTGCCCGTGACCTTTGCCATCGTCGTAGACCGCGAACACTGCAAACAGTATGATGGCGATAATCTCAAAAGTCAAGGCCACGATGGGGAACTTCAGCCTCATGTTGGTGGCGTACGCAGGCATCCTGACACGAACTCTGGTTATCTGTGTGACACGCACTAACTGCCTTTCAGGGGTTATGCTGTGTCAAGGGAGGGAGGAAAGTGGTGTCTGGTTTTAAACTGATGTAGGTTTCATGGCGACCAATGATAGGGCAGAAGACTGAGGCCTGGGTGGTTACACCCCCCTCACGCTCTTTGCTCACGGGGATGGGTTTCCTCTCTGGACGTCGGAGGGGACAAAGCAAAACACAGACGTAATGACATCCAGTGAGCGGACATGGGAGAAAAAGTTAATGACTGCTTCTTCCCACTCATTTTTCACTGTCAAATAATCTAACACATGTCTCTGCAGAGGGATATTTGTTGTTTACATCTGTTGCCTACTGGAGTTCACATAGCACCTATCATGCAATTACAGTTTCTCTCTTCTATCCACTCTGCTGAACGCTGTTCCTCTTTCTCAGTGCAGATGTTTTGAGTCCTTCACCTCTGCAGTTTTTTGACGCACCTGCAATTTCAGATACACTTTTTAAAAGTATAGCAATACAGAACTTTGAATAATAATAAATCACAGGTAAAAGTACTGCATCCAAGACATACAAATGTAATATCAACAGAAATGTCACTGTAAATGTCAAAAGTTATTAAATATGATGATAATGATGATAAATATTGACGGGCTCTTTCGTGGTAATCCATCCTGGAGTTTTTGCGTAATCCTGCTACCAAACAAACAAACAAACGCAGAATAACTATGTTACTGCCAAATGAGTGTAGAGTAAAACAGACATTATTTAGTCTCTCATGTGTAATTTCACTCCAGCACAAACATTCAGTAATGTACACATTTCGTCGGGTGAATCCAGAGGAGGGTGTGCCTTTTGAAGTACATTGTGATTCCAGCCATGACCCCTGCAGACAGTGGATGTGACAGTCATCAGGTTACCTCCGAGTTCAAGGCCTCGTACGTTCAACTGTTTGTCTTGTGTCATCGTTACATACTGTGCGTGCCTCTGCTTTACAAGCGGACGCCGCCTCTGATTGACCTGCAGGTTCTGATGCAGCGAGCAGCTCCCACATCGAGTGTGTCGACGATCTGAGGCCTCGGGCCAGACCTTCATTTGGGCCAAGAGCTTTAAGAATGAGCCGAGTAGTTAATCGCTGCCAGCAACACTTTTTCTGTTTGTCTTGGACTTAAGAGCAGGGAGGGTTTTCCCAGACCCTTCGGGGAAATTACTTCCAAATGTTGAGAGATATCGAACGCTCTGCTCGTACAACTCTGCCCGTGCTGACTCAGAAACTCATTCGCTTTGCGCTGCAGAGTTTTGCAGGAATATTCAGCAGATCGTGGCGGCCGTTGTGCCCCAAGACGAGCTGTGCCAGGGGTGACCTGAACAGCACAGGAGGATTTGTGGTCCAACTGTCATGGTCATTCATTCATGACGGCTGCAGATACTCCCTCACATCGGCTTCCTCTTTTTTTAGCACTGGCTTTATTTTTATTTTTTTTAGAAATAAA